TCTCTTGGTTCCCGAGCCATGAACCCTTACAGAAATGTACTCGTTCATTCATGAAATATTTATTAAACATCTACGGAGCTCTGGTGGTGTAGTGGTTAAAGCATTTGGCTGCTAGCCAACAGGTCGGTTGTTCGAATCCAGCAGCTGCTCCACGGAAGAACGATGGCCCAGTCTGCTTCTGTAAAGGCCCAGTCTGAGGAACCCCCTATGGGGTTCGCTTTGAATTGGAATCTAATGGATCTACGTGAGTTTGGTTTTTTGTTTTTACCAAATGCCAAGTGTTGGGTCTACAATAGTGAAGAAAACCAAATACTGCCCTCAGTTAAAGAGGTCAATTAAGTGAGTAGACACTTTTAAAGCATTGTTTTATAAATATTTTAATTAGTTCTACTTGTTCACAAAGAATAGTAGGTAGTGCACTGGTTAAAGCTTTTGGCTGCTAACCAAAAGGTCAGAGGTAAAACGGGAAGGAGAAAGATGAGGCAGTCTGCTTCTGTAAAAAGATTTACAGCCTTGGAAACCCTATGCGGCAGTTCCATTCTGTCCTATAGGGGCGGTATGAGTTGGCATCTTCTCGATGGGTTTGGGTATGTCTTCTAGAGGAGCTGTGTTCAAGCATTTACATCCTGAAATACATATTTCTTTGTTTTCCTTTTATGTTTCCTTTATGTTACCGTTGGGGAATTACAGATTGTTTTGGTAAAGATGTATACCAAAAAAAAAAAAACAAAAAAAAAAACCCTGTGCCATTGTCATTGACTCAATTCCAACTCATAGTGACCCTATAACAGATCAATACTGACTCATAGCAACCCTATAGGACTGAGTAGAATCGCTCCAACAGGGTTTCCAAGGCTGATATCCTCACAGAAGCAGACCTACATCTTTCTCCCGTGGAGCGGCTTGTGGGTTCAAACCGCTGACCTTTCAGCTAGCAGCTGAGCGCTTAATTACTATACCACGAGCATTCCTCTTAAGATGTGTAACCAAAGAGAAAAAAAAAAAACCTTTGCCATTGAGTCGATTCTGACCTGTCGCAACTCCATGTGTTACAGGGCAGAACTGCTCTGGCGGATTCTCACTGAAGCTGATTACCAGGCCTTTCTTCCACAATGCCCCCAATGCCCCCGGGTGAGTTTGAACTGCTAACCTTTGGGTCAGTTGTCCAGTGCAAACCTCTTGCGGCATCCAGGTGGACTTTATCGTCTGTGGGTTTGTTTCATTAGTAAATAACTATTGTAAACTATTGGTTATAAGAGGTGTGTGTTTGGGGGTTAGGGTCAAGTGGACCTCGAATTTGAGTGTTTGAGAGTTCTCTGGGGAAAACAGATCATCGAATCCCATCCCTTGGATTTTTGACACAGCACGTTTGTGGTCATGCCAGAGAACCTGCATTTCCAGCGAATTCCAAGTGACAGCGATCCCCCTGGTCTGGGACCACAATTTGAAGACCACTGCTGTCCCTGAGTGATGCTCAACAGTTACTATGCTCATCTGCTAACCAAAAGGTTAGAGAGTCAAGTACACCGAGGTGCCTCCGAGGCCTGGCAATTTGTGAGAAGTCAGCCATTGACAGCCCCGTGTCACACAGGACTACTCTGCCACACATGGTATTGTCATGAGTCGGGATTGACTCTGGCAGCTGGTGGTGGTAGACTGCCCCATAGGGTTTGGTGGTGGTGGTGGTCCTAGACAAATGCCACAGCCTCTTCACTGCTCTTCCTCTCCAATCCATCAACAAATTGTCACCTAAGTTTAATCTTCCCACTCGTCCCCGGAACCCCATCACCCATGAACTAAATCCTAATCCCCCTCCATTAGCCTTACCTGCCTTTCCACCCACGGCCACTCTTCTCAGAGGCCATTCCACTCCCTCTCATTTCCTCTTGTAGCAGAAAGGCCCTCCTCTCTCCCCCATCACTAATTCTGGCAGAGCCCACCTCCAGAAAGCCCTTCCTGCCCCTCGGCAGGGTTCAGCATCCTTTCTGCCTCCCTTGCCCCACCCTACTCCCACCGGTTACCTGGTGGACTCCCACTTCGACTCCTGGTGACCCCTTGTATGTCAGAGTGCTCTGTAGGTTTTCAGTGGCTGGGTAGACTTGAATTTCCAACCTATTGGTTAGCAGCTTAGCATGTTAACCATTTGCTGTTCCTATGAATGAAATGAATGAACGCACTGTGGTCGAGTTGGATCCAACTCATAGCGACTCCTCCTTGGGTTTCTGAGGCAGTATCTCTACAGAAGTTGTTGTTGTTGTTGTTGTTAAGTGCCGTTGAGTCGTTTCCGACTCATAGCGACCCCATGCACAGCAGAACGAAACACTGCCCGATCCCGTGCCAGCCCCACAATCCCTGCTATACTTGAGCCCATCATTGCAGCCACCGTATCAATCCATCTCGTTAAAGGCCTCCCCCTCTTT